TAGCTTTCTGTTATTCGCCCGTTTAACCGAAGTGTCCATGCCCCTCTACACAGAGTCTGGCGGACATTCAGATTTCAGCAAGAGCAGAATTTCATGGTACGACATTCTGAGGTGAAAATAAAACTTAGCTCCACTATATGATAGCTGTGTGCATCTGAAGCCGTTAGAGATCCATATGAATTTTTAGTAAATTGTCTTGTGCGCACAAGATAAAAAATATTTCCTTTAGAGGACTTTATGGGCTCCATACTTAGCACATAGCATATCTAAGAACAGCAAGCCAATTTCCCCAGGGTGGCAAAGTTATGACCCGCCCTGGTCTGCCTCTGATTGGCTAGTACTCATTGCCTTCATTGGTTTGGTTGGTTAGGTTTAGGCATGGAGTGAGATTGGTTATGGTCAGGGTAAGAATGTCAGGGTAAACCAAACAGAAGCAGACTAGGGCATGTCATGACTTCACCGTCCTGGAAAAAATTGCGTACAGGATTGGAGAAAGTTGTTCGAATATCAACTTGCTCAACTGTTTGGAGCACAGAGCAAAAAGGGGCCGGACTTAGAGGGGGTCAATTATCAGGCTCCTCACTGGTTGCATCATTGACAAAAGGTGACACTTTTTGAGTGATTAGATAACATACATACATACATACATACACATACACACTAGCCTTCATGAGGTTCAAATTTATTAAGTTACACATTGCTGTTTCCAACACAGTTTCCAACACTAGGTCACACTTGTTCAAAAAGACAATTGGAGCTAGACGTTTCCACTCTTCTCTGCTGCTCCATCTCCCTTTACTAACACCGAGAAAACAGGAGGGGAAGAAAAAATCCACCTTCACACTCACAATGTGACATTTTCATCGATTTGACCTGGGTGTGCAGTTGTTTGTCTGCTGCAGAGTACCACATTTAGACAAAAGTGTGAGAAAAACTGTTTCCTTTCAGAGTTTTAGGGTCTTTTTCTGGACATTTAGGGTCTTTCTCTCATGATTCCCTGCCGAGATCTACATGAACGACTCAGTACAGGAAGTGGTGGAGGAGGACAAGTGACACGTTTGGCTTTTTGAGGGTTGTGTTCCTGGTCCAAAACAGCTGAAACACAAGAATCCATAAAGACTGTGGTAACACAGGTCAGCTTACAACTCCTAACACAAACACGGTAACACAGCAACTTCAGCCTACTGGGGAGGAAATGTGCGGATTGTTTTAAAGGAGAATAAAGGAATTTTATAGACTTAAAGCTGTCAGGTGATTGACAGGTAGAAGATGGTGACATAATTCGGCACTAACAATCAAATCAGGCCGGACATGTAACTGAAATTCTCACTGGCACTATTTTTACAAAAACACTGGTACTCTCCTTCAAAATAAGAGCGATACAATCTAAGAGAGAGGGAGGTTATACAAAAGGAGTGTGTGCGTGTCGACAGGCCTCTCTGCATCACGGCTGCGTATTGTGTGTGCGGGTGTGTTCAGATGTCCTTGAGGTCCTTCTGGATGCCCCACAGTGTGTCGGCGCTCTTCTTCAGCTGGCCCACCTCGGCGTCCGTCAGGGTCATGTTGATCACGCTGCTCACGCCGGTGTTGTTCAGCACGCAGGGCAGAGACAGGAAGACCTCCTCACCAATACCGTACATGTCCTACAGAAATACACATACATACACAGAGTTAAGTGAGGAAGAAACACACACAATTAAACGAAAACACAGTATATAAGCATTTATAGATAGCTATATATGCGGGGTGTTTAATGCCAGACCGTATTAACTGAATAGTTTGTTTTGGGAAATATTTATTACCTAATATTTAATACTTAAAGCTAGAGTAGGTTTATAAACGTTTATAAAATAACTTTTTGTCATATTTGCTGAAACTATCACTACTGTCAGGATAGTAGTACATGAGACAGATAATCTGTGAGAAAAATGTGGTTCCTCTGGTTCATTCTAGTTCTATTAATGACATTTGCAAGAATCCACCGGGCCTGAACAAAAACAACCAATCAGAGCTAAGAAAGATATAAAGACACTTTGGGCTGATTGTTGAGTCTCATTCCCAGGTCGTCAAATATGAATGCTGGGAATTAACACTCATCAGATTTAACAATCACCTATCCTAAAGCCACCAACCCAAAGCTTTTTTCCATCTTTCTCAGCTCTGATTGGTTGTTTTCATCCAGGCCTGGTGGATTCTTATGAATGCCATTAGGAGCACTAGGAGGAACCAGAGGAACCAGATTTTTTTTACAGATTACTGTCTCCATGTGACGCTTCAGGGAATGGTAAAAAGTTTGAGCAAAAGTGAACAAAAAAAGGTATTTTTATGAAAATGACCTACTGCAGCTTTAAACGACCAGCGTGTGTGATATAATTGCATCTAGTGGTTACTAGGGACATGTTGTTAATTGAGGCATTATTACCTGCCTTTTAAAGGTAAACTGTGTCAAAATTTCCACTGTGAATAATAAAAATAAATAAACCAAACTGCTACTAACAGGAGGAGGGGCTCAACTCAGGGGGTCAATAGTGGCAACAGCTCACTTTTGCCCTGGAGCACTGTAGTGGGTTAACCCAGTTATGATTGTGTGCATGCATCCTGTGTGTGTGTGTGTGTGTGTGTTTTGTGTGTCAGACCTTGACCATGTGGAGAAAGGATGGACACGGCTCATGTTCTTGATCAAATCTCTCAGTCCAGGTCTGCCACGCTCAGACCGATGGCCCAGTTGGTGTAGCCCTTCAGCTTGATCACCTCGTAGGCACTGAGACACACAGCAGCACTCTGTCAACATCTATACAGTGTGTGTGTACATGTGTAAAAATTACATTCCACAAGTCTGATCTTACAGGAAAATTGCACATATAAATACACTTTATAGACAAATTATCTAGCACATTGAGATAATCTTATCGGCCGATGTCTGCGCTTACGAGGCCGATAAGCAAAAAATGTCTGCAGACACATCTGCAGGCAGCCTTATCAGTGAGGCTGCTGTGGAACGATGTTAGCGCTTCCCTTTTTTGGGAAGGTGGTGAAAAAGTTCATTTGGAGCTCTGTACTATAAAGTATACATCTTGCTAACACGTTTCTCCTAAATGACAGCAAATCTAATATAAAAGTAATATTGTCTAGTGTTAAATATCTATTACAATGTATATAATAATTCCTGCTCTCCCTTAAATACTTAAATACCAGTCAGGTTCTAAAATCTACAGCAGAACCAAATGTATTTGTCTATTTCATTAATTCATAACAATCCCATCTAAAACAACATGTTACTGGCTCAGATAACCATGTGTATCACATCATCAATCATGTGCATGAGTATATCAGAATTATACATGACTTTTCTTTGTTTTGATATCAGCATTATTATATATTGGCCATTGAAAAACCTGTATCGGTCCACCACTAATACACATATACCACCTTATATCACCCTAGCAACCACCCGGAACACCATAGCAACCACCTAGTAACATAAAAGTTTATATAAAGTCTACTATCTTACCATAAGGCTGTAAAACTCTGACCCCAATAGATGTGAAGTCAATTTCATTATGATCACAAGCACACAAATAGAATTTTTCATTTTTATAGATATATAGTAAAATCTATTGCTTTATATTCTTTCTACAATGTAAGAAATTACATCACATATTGCAATATATTATACCATCATAAGGTTTGATTATAAAGACTGCGAGAGCCGCTGAAGCTAACACAAACTGCTGATTGGTCTTCAATAAATGACATAACTACTGTCCATGATACGCAGCCCTTAATGTTCATTAGTGAGTGAAGCTTGCATTAACACTGCCAGGGTTGGAGGTCACATTCCCACTGGGGCCACCTGAACTGTAATCACTCTCAGCACTCCACTGACTGTTAAATATTCACACAGAATCAGCCTTCTTGTACATGATAGTAGTTATCAGTGCTGGAGATCTTCTTGTCTCATGTTTTATCTCCACTGAACAGCCGGGACAGGGTGCAGCATGTGCTCTGAGAGCTAAAACCACAGACCTCAAGTCTGGCAAAAAAAAAAACACAGGCTCATTCTAGATAAACTAACCTACATAGAAAGGATTTGGACTTGGGTGTTTTACAGAGAAGAAAGTAGAAGCCCTGTGTCTCCTCTTCCCTCAGTGGTTATGTAATCTGACAGGAGGTCTTATGAGGGAGAGCTTAACTTTCCCGGACAATGAACACAAGTCTCTCAAGTAAACAAGTTCTGGGAGGAGAGTTTAGCGGCAAGAGGGAAGAATTCAGCTACTGTAGGCTTTAAGAACAGCAAACAGTGTTCCAAAGTTTGTGACTTGGCTTTAAGATTGTGGCTTGAAGAAGCCAGCAAGTGGACCTTGAGTTGGGATTGTTTTGTCAAACTATTTGCAAAGTAACTAAACTATCTCTATCTGTAGCCATACTCGGAATGGGCGTGGTTTAAACTGGAAATGGGTGGGGCAAACTGGACATTGTGATTGGCTGATCAGCAGTTCCTCTTTCACAGGTTTTAGTGTCACTGACTTCATCCTCACGCACTGTGTAATCACTAATCAATCAATCAAGTGTTTCAAATTAAAACGCCAGTAGCGACAAGCAGTAGTGTGCTCGCTGTCCTGTTTGTATTTTAAATGTTGTTAATGAAGAATCAACAATCAGATTAAGCTCTACACCTGTTGCACTGTTTGTTGCTCCAAAGATTGAAATGCATCTGCTGTTTCTCATCGTCAGAGGAACTTGGTTTGCTGTGGTTCAGTGTTAGTTTGATCCTTTGCACACGGGCAGGATCCAGTACTTTTACTGAATCTAAAGGATCGACAGCAGCCACTCACGCACTGGGATTTACTTAGGGAAGACCGTTAAATATCAGACATCTCCCGTCACGTGCACTTTAATACATGGGGAAAATGCAAAGTGCAGAAATAGGGCGGGGAGGTGTCAGGCAGATGCTCAGAATCTCCACCACATACCCCTCCCCTCCATACTACTCTAAAATGATACAAGCATCTCGAGGGTTGTGATTACTGTCCCATGTCTTGTATATTTGATTGTTTTTTGTTTCAGCCCTCTACTGTAAATCAAATTTCTCCTTGAGGGACAATACAGATTGAACATGAACTTGAACTTAAATAAATTTAAATGAAAGATATATCTATGTGTGTGTGTGTGTGTGTGTGTGTGTATATTTATATATATAGACTGCTGTTTTGTTATCTGCTGTCTACCATACCTGTCCACTACCGCTTTGTGTGTGGCCTTCCACTGTTCCTTATCAGCATCAGTGCCAATGTCAGGATTCAGCTTCTGCAGGTTGACTCCTGCCACGTTAGCGCCGCTCCACACTGGCACTGAAATAAAAAAACACACCAACAGTTAATACTGCACTATATATCATTTGATGCCCTTCATCTGACAGATGATGATTGTTGCGTGATGATAGTGTGTACCCACCGCTGGTGTCTCCGTGCTCTCCCAGCACCCAGCCGTTGAAGGAGCTGGCGTGGATGCCGAGGCGTTCGGCCATCATGTAGCGGAAGCGGGCCGAGTCCAGGTTGGTACCGCTGCCGATGACGCGGTGCTTGGGCAGGCCGCTCAGTTTCCAGGTCACGTAGGTCAGCACGTCCACTGTGGAGGGTGAGTTACAAGCAGGAGTTATTGATATTGTAATAGAAGACCAAAGGTGATCATGTGTTTTCTAGTGTACTCACCAGGGTTGGAGACCACGATGAGTGTGCAGTTGGGGCTGTATTTGATGATCTGGGGGATGATGGACTTGAAGACATTGACGTTCCTCTGCACCAGATTGAGGCGGCTCTCGCCCTCCTGCTGGCGAACACCGGCCGTCACCACCACCAGACGAGAGTTGGCAGTCACCGCGTAGTCTGGAGGAGGAAGAGAGGAGGAGAAACAACATCCGGTGAGTGCTGTCATTCTCATGTACAGTGCAGCAGGGTGTTAGCGGCAGGTCCTGACCTTTGTCTGCGACAATCTTGGAGGTCTTGAGGAAGAGGCTGCCGTGCTGCAGGTCCATCATCTCTCCCTTGAGACGATCCTCCATCACGTCCACCAGAGCCAGCTCATCACACAGGTCCTGTTCAGGGGAGGAGGAGGAAGATGAGGTGAGGGAGTGCAGGAAGATAATTGTGGAGGAGAGATCACATTCAATTCAGCAGGCCTATAGTATGGATTACATTAATGTAATACCCCATTTGTCTATAGAGTTTTCTTTTTTATATATATATACATTTTTATCTAAAAACAAAATTTCTCCTTCCATTCTATGATATATATCACATATAAAGTGTCTGTGTATATTACAATGTGTGTACATACAATATTACTTATGGCACATATATTTCTAATACATGTTGTTTAATATACTCTGTAGAATATATCAAAACAATATATCTGATATGAAACATTTTTTATTGTGTATGTTAAAATGACATATGTTCATACCTTAATTATTCATCACATTTTACCATTATTATAAAAAATATATTGTTCAATATAGGTATGTACAATGTGATTTACAACCGCAGTATGTAGTCAACACAGATAATGGAGAGCCATATGTGATTTTAGTTTCACAAAACATTTGAAATGGAGATGATCTTATTATGCAAGATATTGTTTATATTACACAGGCATAAAGGAAAATCAGCATCATCATCTCATGTCATTTACCCATGATATTTATGGGCTCTTTTCTCTATTTTTTTCTCTTGTGAGGCAGCGTGTTGTGTCTTACCCGCAGCAGGATGCTGACAGCACAGGCCATGCCCACCTGGCCCACCCCGACCACCGTCACCTTGTTCCTGGGAGGCTCAGCGGGGCTGCTGGCCAGAGGGCTGATCAGTTTCTGCAGCACTGAGGACATGATGGCCGCTGCAGGGAGACAGAAGGAGGACATGTCCTAGTGAGTGGGCCCAACAACAAACTGGGGCTGCAACTAACCATTATTTTCATTATTCATTTAATCAAAAATGACTTATTAATCAATTATCAACATAGTTCAATTCATTTAATAGCTGATACCTAATTGATTAATCGACTAATCATTGCAGCTCTATATCCAAATTGTTGAATTTGATACATTTTATGTCAATCAACTTACTAATTAACTGTTTAAAAACTGACAGTGTATTTCAAAAACAAAACAAATAGCCATGCATAACACACAGAATCCTCTACATAAGGGAATAAGTGTAAATAATGGCAAAATAAAGTCAACAACAAAACAAGCTGTCCCTGTGAAAAACAGTTCCACATGAAGGGTAGGAGCTGTCACTAACACTTACAGGACGAGCGGATGGGCATCAAGAAGCGAGACATCATGATGGTGTCCAAGTGCGGAACCAAACCCAAAAAACCACTGACTAAAACCTGGAGTCCAGTTTAAATACTTATAAGTCTTATCAGGACTGACATTCACTGTCACTGTTATTTTTTTTACTCTGAGTAACAGCATCATCACCGTCCCAACATGAACTCAAAGCTGTTCCAGCTAATCTGTATGTACATAATGTGTTTGCAGGTTATCGTTGCCATTATCACACCCATCCCTGCAGCAGAGGCTGACACTGAGGGCAGCTATCATCTGATGCTGTCGTCCTCTCATACGGATTCACAATAATTACAGATAATATGATTCAGAGCCTCATCACAGGAATATAGTGTTCTTCAGCCTGATGTCAAGGCCACTAGTAGTACTACTGGGAACTAAACAATGGTTCAGTTACTACTTTTGATCTTGCACTGATGGTTCATGTTAGGGATGTCTCCATCAAGTGTTTTTAGCCCCCGATACGATCCGAGTCATTCAATATTGATCTAACACTTTCACAATCAATCCAATGTATATGCTTGACAATTAATAGCTCTGCTAAGTACAAAATAACAAACCCTCTGTAATGTTTTGGCCTTGGAGCTGCCTGGAGGGAGTTTCTCTCCTCTCTCTATATAATATATATACTATATATTATATATATCTGAGTGTTTTATTTCTATCGTGCTCTACAATCCTTTGCATGGATTACATTAATGAATACTCAATTATTTTGATTTTTGTTTTCGTGGGCCCTTTTTTGCAGCTGCGTGCTTGAGTGGGTGTGTCGGCTCTCCTTAGACGTCTCTCGTCCTGTGCAGTGGGCGGGCCTGCTCTGTATCGCCACTGACACAGAGCTCAGAGTGGAGAGACAGTGGAGAGAGTTCAAACTGGCTGCAGTAAAGCTTCATGAGTCAAGCTTCATGAGTAAAGCAGCTGATGTAAAACAAAAGACCGGATCGGGTCAGTAAAGCTCAATAATGCCTTCATTGGTGCCAATACTGATCGATGAGATCGTGACATCCTTACTTTGTTTTATTATTATTTTGAACTCGCAGTATGTCACTGCTGCTGGCTGCAAAGAAACAACATGCCACAGCCAAATGCCAAACTCAAGGCTTCAAAAGGGTTCTCCTCTCCACTTCTAAGTGTACCACTTCAATACTTTTTGGGACTGTATTGGCTCACTTGTTAGTTTATTCAACTTTAAAGGACCAACGTGTAGGCTGAAGATAGGGCCTTTTTTGTGAGTTCCGCAGCCACCATAGTTTCTACTACACACTAGAAAGGGGAGGGTGAGGCTAGAGCCCAACCAATATATCAGTCGCTCGAGAGGAGCTGCGCCTTGGCTGGAAAGGGGACGAGATCAGGTTACAAAAAACTGCAGTCAAGTTGGACAGTTTCCAGCAGCCATCAAAGAATATACAGGAAGTCACAGAAATGTTTACATCCTGTTAGATCCATCTGTAGGCTACCTGTAGCTAGGTAATAAACTTTACTGTCATTATTATCAACAATATATGTTCATTAAGAGATTATTAACAAGTAGAACATGAGACAGATAATCTGTGAAAGAATCAGGTTCCTCTGGCTCCTCCTAGAGCTCCTAATGGGATCTGTAAGAACCCACCAGGCCTGAACAAAAACAACCAATCAGAGCTGAGAAAGATAAATGATTGTTGAGTCTCATTCCCAGGTAGATTCGTGCAAATTCCATTAGGAGCGTTTTTCACAGATTATCAGTCTCATGCTTTACGTCAAATCAGAGACCAGTCCATTCTGACATTCTAAATAATGCTGCTGTTTACTGTACACAATACTGGTTTAAAATCAACAAAAAGATGATCTGTCTCATGTACTCCTGTTAGAGTGAAAGTTTTCAGACAATATGACAAAAAGTGATTTTTATAAAAAATGACCTACTGAAGCTTTACTCCTTTATTCCATAACATGAGGCTAAGAGCCTATAATCTAGCATTAAAGATAACAATAATACGGGCGGCAGTAACTCAGTGTGTATTGGGAACCGGAGGGTCGCCGTTTCAAGTGTCCCACAGACCACAATTATGGAGTGTGGACTGGTCTGTGCATTGCTGAGGTGCCCTTGAGCAAGGCAACCTAACCCCAAGAAACTGCAATCTACAATCACATATATGTTCTACAAAGTGTGGTGTTTGTGGTCAAAACAAAGAGCCAATCAGCTCTTTGATCTGGTGACAGCCAGGTGTTTCCCATCATGCCCTGCCTTTTTTCAATTTCATTCCAGCCCGAAACTTCACTCCATCGGCCACCATATTGGCAATTGGTGAATTTCCCTTTAAAATCGATATTGGTGTCAAAAGTCCCATATTGGTTGAGCTCTAGGCCACCACTAGATGCCAATAAATCCTACACACTGGTCTTTTAAACTGTTTTAAGCAAAAAGACACTTTAGTCAAACATGACCATATTTAAAACAAACTGAAAACAAAAACGTGAACTTAAAAATAAGTGAAACCACACACACACACACACAGTGCTGCTACAAATGAAATGTGCAAATGAAAACAAAACAGCTGTAACACACACACACACACACACGTCTCTCATTTCCCCACCTATAATGCAAACACTACCTCCGTCTCATGACTCTTTCCTTATCACATTTTCTTTCCTTCCTTGCTATCTGTCTGCCCATCTTCCTTTCATCCACCGCTTGCAGTGGAACATGCCACTCAGGCAAATAAATAGTATCATGGTGAATATATCAGTAAAGTCAATGTTTAATCAATAACTTACAGCTGGCCCACTTTGTGCCAGTGTACATTCGTGCTGAACAGCAGACTTTGGTTGATCTGATATCTTTGGACAAAGCGTCTCAAGTTCATTTCGTACTTCAGCGTAAAGCTTCCTCCTAGACAGCCCTGATCATGTGGTTTCCTGTCAACAAGTCTCAATACAGGAAGACTTTCATAGTAGAGGTCATATGGACGTGAAATGATCAAAGAAAGCACAGAGACAAATAAAACTGAAGAAAACACAAAAAAAGCAGAACTGAGTAAAAGCAATACATTGAGTTGATTGTATTGTGCATATGACTGAAACACAGCACTGTGCAATGAGCAATAGCAACAGGCAGAGCCCATATCACAGCAAGGTCAAATAACATTAAAAAGGGGACACAGTACACAACTGAAACCAGGGCTTTCCCAACCTTTATATGTCACACAACCTCTGGAGATATCACAGACAGTGACGTCTGATCTGGGAGAATGTGCTCAGAGGAAAATCCTACTAGTTGTTAGCCTAGATATAATATATAATTACTGTAGATGGGAAAATGGCAGCCTTAGATAGTGATACACATTATGCAAAGACAATGGCACTTGTTTGGGATCCTAACTGAGACACCCGAAGGTCCCAGGGCCTCAGTTTGGGAACTGCTGATTGCAGCTATCAGTATGCATTAAAGAACAAAGCCTGCTGGGCACAGGCTGCCAACACGCTTAAGATAACGGTCCTATCAAGGTCAAAGTGGCACTGGAAATAGGCAGTCATGGTCATGGGGTGGCTGCTTGTGTCCATAAAGGGACAGTCCTCCTGTCTGTCCAGCTATCTGGCACTTCTTCAGGAGACAATGGAGCTGCTGAACAGCACAATGGACCATTATAGCCTCCTCTATTACCTATTACAATGCCAGCTACCCAGCCTTACAGGACTAAGTCCATGTGTCCCACCAGCAGCCTGTTGGACACTGGGTGATATGAGTAAGGTGATATGCTGCCTTTGTTCCTGTCGTTACTGTGTTTTAGTGGGATTAAGGTTATGTAACAGTCCGGGCCTGAGCCCGGCCGTCGCCCTTGATTTTGGGGATGCTGAGCGGAGACACTGCACTCACATTTAACGACGTCAAAGATTCAAATATTCAAGTAAATAAGAACACAGCGGTTCTAATAGGAAACGACCTCCGAGAGGGGCAGAGTTCAAGTTCAATGCGAGTTCAATGAGTTCCTGTTTGAGCGACATTACACACAAATGGACAAATATACAAAGCACCCTTGAAGTCAAGTGCAGAGCGGGAAATACAGTCAAATGTACACACGCGTTAAGATGGTGGAATGTAAAATATAAATATTATGCCGATAATATTTTTACAAGCTAGCTAACGTTACATCACAGAGCTAGCTTACTGAGAACGTTAGCTGCACTTTGTACGGTTGGTATTAACTGTAACAAAAGCTGAAATAATCCAAATTTCAATTGTAATTAAAAATATATCTAATCCCCAATATAGCCGAGAGCTTTTCAACTATCTAAGCTTGGGGAACCATTCACAAAATCCTTCCTTTAATATAGCTTCAAACAGTATTCCGTTTAACTTCGTGTACAGTGAAAATGGGTTCCCGCAGCGGGCGTTCCGACTCTGAGCATCCATTGCTGCTGAGGCGTTCAGCACGCAGCGCTGTGCGGCAGCACCGAACCCCGCAGAGAAAAATGGCATTTTAAAAATAGCAGAGTACTTACATTTTTACGCTTGTTCCTAAAGGCTGATATTGGTTATATGGTCCGGTGGAGGACACGGTGCGGCGTCCGGCGGCTGGCAGAGAGATGGAGAGAAGGGTATAGTGTGGAGCTGAACGGGCTGCAGTGAGGAGGAGGAGGAGGAGGATGGGTTGCCAATGTGAGCAGGGCTTGGTTCACATGAGAGGCGGGGTTGCGAAGCAGCTGTCTGCGTGGCATTTATACACCTGTCTGCCGTGGAAGGCAGCTGGAGATTACATGCAAAAGTGTAATTCATTTTTCCTCTTTGTCCCTGACTTTTTACACTCAGACAGAAGCATGAATGATCCAGGCCAGTACTGTACTTGAGGAACTACTTTTTACTTGTTATGAAGTTTCTTTCAGTCATTGTGGTATTGCTGTGTAGTTAAAGATCCTCTCCAGACGTGTATTAAGACACATATATAAACAATCTGTTTGGAACAATAATGTGTGTCTGTTATGGTTGTGTTGCAAAACAAGTATAATTTGCACATTAAGTAATCTCTTCTCAACTTCTAACCTCACCTCATAAAAATTCCAGAATCTCTGAATATGCAAATGTTGTTCATTTCTAAAGTTTTCCTGCTGGACACAAGATGTCTCCTACTTCACTGTAAAGTCCATTCTCAGTGGATGTGCACGCTGGTGGCTTTCAGGGTCAATTTATGATGCACAATCATCAGCTGTAGGGCCCGGCCCTTAAAATCAGATGTTCAATGACGAGTGAGTCGTAGGGGACTTTAAATCACTTGAAGAGATAAGTTTCTCTGAGTGCAGGATCAGAAATTAGATTTATAAACAATACAGACTATCCTTTTGATGGACACGTCAAAGACATTTCATCTTTCGAGGGAAACAACAAAGCAAGGGGCTCGCTTGATTGAATGATGTCGTCTATGATCCCACTGGCCTGGCTGTGCAGGACTCGTGGTCACAGTCTGCACTCAGCCTGCGGACTATGCCTGTTGGTCCAGGCTGCGGGCGCTGCATTGCACAGGCAGCAGCACGCTTCCCCATCATGCTCTACCCTCGGACGCCGACCTTGGTTCGCTTTTCACCTCTCTGGGCCTCTCTCGACTCTGAGAGAGAAAGAAGGAGTGGTCGGTCATTAGAAATGAGCAAGTACGACTATTATAGAAGGTATATGAACTAAAGCTTGTTTTACTGAGCTTAGAGATCGATGTCTTATATATGAGACTGTAAAAACTTAATACACAGCCAACAAACACTAGTTAGCCATGCAAGTCATGAAGTTTTTTGTGTTGTCTGTGTGTTGTGTATGTGTTTTTTTTATGTGTTTTTTTTTTTTCATATATGTTGTGTGTGTGTTGGTGCGTGCATGTTTGTTTTGATATAGTTGCTCTTGTGTATTCTTTTTTACAATGTGTGGTATAATGTGTTTTTGGTATGTGTTTATTTTTTTATTGTGTAAAATTATAAGTTTATTTTTGTCTGTTTATTTTTATCTTTGTTTTTTTTTTTATTTCTCCAGTGTAAATATTGTATTTGTTGTTTTATATCTGAATTTTTTTTTTTTTGTTCTTTTTTTTAAGTTTTTGCTTGCATATTTTCTGGTTTATGAGTGTACTTTATATGTTATTGTTGTTTATATTGAAAAAATGAATTGATTTATATAATGTTAAGTGGTTTTCTGTTTTCTTGTTTATAGGTCATCATACTATTACACTGTGTCTTTTGTTTCGAGCGTTATTTTAATGTGTGTTGTTTTATTGTTATTTATCTCATAACGTAGTGGGTGTATGTTGTGTAGTATTGTGTTACCCATGATTTTGTCTTTGTGGCTGTCTGTGGTGATGGGGCTGGTGTTCTCTCTGGCTCTATATATGTATGGCCCACCTCAGGGCTGTTCTGTGCAAGACTGGCTCCCAGCTCACAGGTCTGCACAGTTTCAGGAGCGGTGTCGATTCGGTGCCTCCTGGTTCTCTCGTCTCTTTCTCACCTCCCTCCCTGTTCATCTGCTCGGCTGTTCTCCTCTCTCTTTCTTCACCTCCTCCTGTTCATCTGTCGGCTGGTTCGCTCCTTCTTCTTTCTTACCTCCTCCTGTTCATCGTCGGCTGGTTTGCTCCTCTCTTTCTTTCCACCATCCCTCCTGTTATCTTCTGGGTCGGCTGGTTTGTCTCCTTCTCCTCTTCTTTCACCTCGCCCTCCTGTTTCATCTGTCGGCCTGTTCCTCCTCTCTCTTTCTTCACCTCCCTCCCTGCTTCATCTGTCGCTGCTGGTTCACTCTCTCTCTTTTCTCATC